CTAGTAGGAGCTCTGCATATGCCTTCCATGTGGCCGAGAGGGTTTGCCCTGCGCGCCGCGGTCCCCGTGCGCCGCCCGCGGGCGTCGCGCCCGATGCCAGACACCAAAATCAGCAACCCGGCATCCTTAGGACAGAGGTCTCGTTACAGCTTTATGTAAAAATAAATAAAGATCTATCAGACAGGTTTATTTTTTTTTTCCACAGAAATTCTCTAAAGAATCAAATAGCACTTTCTTTTCCTTTTTTTTTTTTAAATAACAAGCACTTTACTGAAAAGACTATTTGAAAACAGTTTATTTCTTTAGTCAATGAAACTGTTTAAAAAAAAAAAAAAAGGCAGGGGTTGTCAAGGCATAACATGCATAAAACTGTCAAAGGAGACATTTCTGGAAAATGTTTCTTGAATACGGTGATTCTTTGGGGCTCCAGGTGCAAGATTAAAGGCTTCTAAACCTGGTTGGCTTYGTGTTTTCCTATGGCTGAGGGGAAAGGCCTGAGGAGAGCGGCTTCCTTTGGAGGAGACTCTTTAAGTTGCACAGGTGCCCGTGAGAGGCTCGTTTGCCTGCCCAGATCCTAAGTGCCGCTTAGGATCTTAGGATCATTGTTTGCGTGAGGACGGAGCGGAGGTTTACAGATGTGGCCTTGTTGAATGTAGAAGTTGATTCAAGAACTGTTTATATTTTTGGAGATTTAACCCAGGTATTGTTGAGTGTTTTCAATGTCACGGCATCGGGGGATGTCAGAAATGTCTCGCTATTTGAAATTATTGCAATGATGTACAGTCTGAGGGTTGCAGAGATGGTTATTTTGATTAAAAGGGAAAGAAGAACTAGTTTTAATAACTTTTATTTTTTTACATATCCCTGGTGGAAAAAAGATGAAAAGAATTTGAAATGAATTTGGATTTAAAAAAAGACATATTTAAACAAATCATGGTAGATGAGACAACTTTGAGAATGTTTGAAATTGTCTTGGTTGGCCATGAGCTGGGTAGTTGCTTTTTCAGTATCATGATTTTTAACACTACATTCCTTCTCTCTTTCGCTTTTATTTTTCTTTTTTTTCCTTAAACAGGCAATTCTAGGCTCTGCTATGTTTCATGCCATGTCATCTACATGAATTTTTGCTGATATGAAATGCTATATTCAAAGAAATTGTACCTAAATAAAAAGGAGGGACTAGGGGGGGCGAAACACAAAATAAAACACTGTGTCTGAACAAAATCCTGTATGGCCTAATGTAGAGACCCCAACTAAGCCTGAGAGGTGCTGCACTAATAGACAATCAGTGGGAAATTATTTATGAAACACTTTTGGGAATGGTCTTAAAGATGTTACTGCTTTGAAAGCAGATGATGGGTTATTTTTTTTAAAACATGAAAGGTAAAAAGTATTTATTTTAAAAATATATCAGACTGAACTTGGAGTTTTTAAGCAGTGTTGATTTCACGGTGTCTTGAGTTTCAGTTTTGTATTTTTTAAATGGCATTAGAGTTGTATACGTTTAAAACAAAAAAACAATGCCACTCATTGACGTCAGGAGATGTAGATACGGTTCCCTGGTGTTCATGTGACCATTACTACCTGTCAATTTTTTAACTGAATAAATGTAACTCATTTAAAAGTTTGCTTTTCGTAGCTTATCAGGCTCTAGAAATCTCTCTGAGTTGCTTGCTGTCAGATTTACCAGAAGCTCCAGGAGCTCTTCCCGCCTCCGCGGGGCCCTTTCCTCTCCTGACAGATGACTTGGGACGAGTCGCTTGATGTCAGTCCTCTCTCCCCTGCCCTCCCCGCRCCCGGCACTTGCGAGGCTCTGCTCTAAATGCACACTGTATTTTTCTCGTCTTTTTTTCTGTATCTCTCCATAAACGGCTGGCCCCACTCTGACGTCTGGATTTGGCTTTGATTTGGGGGGTGGCGGGGGCGCCTTGCCGTGCGGCAGCCCTGGGGACGGCGCGGCCGCCATCCTCGTCCTCACGTCGCGACCACGGCGCCCGTCCTGCTCCTCCGCCCTCCCAGCAGCCGGCTGCGGGGGCCCTTTCGGAATCCGTGTTTAATTTAATAAATTAAAGCAAGGGGAGGCCGGTGCTGCCCTGAGGAAGGAGCCGGCGCTGCTGCTGCCTCTGGGCTCTGAGGCAACGGGCAGGGCAGGGCGCCCAGCGGGGCCCTGGGCGCTGGTGCCATCAAAGCGCCAAGGTCGGGACTGGGAATTTAGTAATCTGGAATAAACTAGATGTTCAGAGCAAGTCCAGGAGCTTCAAACTGAAGCTGAATACTCAGAGAATGTAAGGTCTGGATGTTTTACAGTCCACGATTCCTTTATTTCAGTGATAGAGCTAGATGCCAAGGAAGGAGGATGCGGATCTTTGGCCTGTGGGATTAAGCAATGCTTGTGCAGGCTCTGTGCTGGTTTTGGATGCTGTAAACACTCGCTGCCTCAGGAGTCCGAGCAGGATCAGCTATGTRAGTTCTGTACTTAAAACTCTCTGCGAGCACCACTGATAAGATTGACCRCAAAGAGGAAGCAAGACAATCAGTATTCTTAAAACTGACCCTTGGAAATATTTTTCTGTAATTAGCGGGAGCTGTAATTGCAGCTGGAKCCCTTCAGGAGCAATCCTGTGCAGCGACGCTTGGCTGTTGTGCAAGCCCGGAGCCCAGGCCTGTGTTTGGGGGAGCGCSGCGCTGGGTCCGTGCAGGGGTTGGGAGGCCGAGCTTGGTTAGCTCAGCCCGGCACGAGCCGCCGGGGCCTCCGGAATGCCCATTCCCAAAGACCTCAGCCGCTGGAAGGAGCTGTGGGGCAAGGACACGAGGATTTGCAGGCTTAACAGCATTCCCTGTAGTGCAGTCTTTATTACGGTTACCCCTGCTTAGCGCCTACGCTTCCCCTTGGGAAGCAGGTTTAAATCATCCAGATTACGTATCTCTAGTACATACTACACGTAGGTGCCAGCATAATGAAATACTGGGGGCTAAATTTAACTCGTATGGCTGTTAGTGCACTGGCTGGCATGAACCAGTGCGTGCTGGTTCATGTTGCTTTAAGAACGGGCTTGCTTTGCCGTGCTGTGCACTGCACTTGTACTTTGGCTCGCTAAGTTTCTTTAGAAAACTTTGCACTCTCAGGATATAGATTTATCTTAGTCTTTGCTTATTGCACTTTGTCACGTAAAATGTAACGAGAGAGGCTTTTCCTTGCACTTGCAAATGAATTGTGCAGCTCTAATAATAGCAGCCAGCACAGGCTTCCCCTCACTTTAAGCATCTCAGCCGCTGTGCTCGGTTTTTATCCCCACGGAGCTGAGCCTCAGCGTCGCTTCTGCCAGGCGTGTTTCTGTTTCTCAAGTCTGGGGGCGAGGAGGCCTTTGCCCCCTGACACATGTGCACGGGCTGTGTGAGGGGCACCTTTCTGCTTTGGGAGGCCTTCAGAGCACTCGGGGTGAATCTGCCTTCCACACTAACACTTCCTTGCAAGGCAGACGGGAATTTGTGCTAGACAGGGGCACATGTTCCGTGGTGCAGGTGCGGATTTACCAGCCTTCTCTTTGCACTTAAACAGTCGCTTGCTCTGTTTAGCCTTCTGTAGCTGTAACAGAACAATTGCATAGGGTGATGGTTACAACTTCAGCCCGTTAAGTATTTGTTTCATATTCTAATAGGCGAGGGCAAGCCTATTTAAAAAGGAAGGAAAGACCATTATTAGCTAAAACCGGCTCGCGGGGCGGAGCAGGGCTCCAAGGCCGCTGCCCATCCACGGCTCGCCAGCCTTCGCTTGCATCMAGGCCAGCCCAGGCCAAACCCGCCCTTTAAACACTGAAAAAGGGCAACCRAATTCAACTGTTACCCTTGGTAGCAACTACTGGCAGGCCTGTTAAAACTTGGGCTGATAATTTTATAACAGATCAGCAAAACCCTGCTCAGGGATATGCAGCTTTCCAAGGAAACAAGTTTAAATGCCACCCCCTGGTTTAAGACCACCCATCAACCTGCCTTCCTCTCCCCCCCTCACCCTAACCAGGCAGCAGTCAAACACACAGCGCCGTGAGTGCTCGGCAGGATTTGGCATCAACTTTAAGCTCCYAATAGTAGCAGTGTAGATTGTTCTGCAACTTCACCTTCACCTTCCATCCACATACAATGGATTAGATTGTTTTATTTTCAAAACTCTTAGGAGCAGCAGCAAACACCTTTACGTAGTGCATATAAGGTCCTTTSAGCAGGAAGGCTGGGGCGGCAGCTGCTGCTTGTGGGAGTGAAATGTAAGAGAAGGGAAATGTGAGGGAAGGCAAACGAGCTGCAGCTTGACCAGCCTCTCTGCAACCCTCACATGGGCGTCCATGAGGCAGYTCCACAATTCCAACAACTCCATGTCCCACTTTACCAGCCTACGAGCGACAGCGCGGGGGCTTGTTCAGCCTATTAACTCAGCACTCAAGTCCTCACTGAACAGCAGAGAAAAGCAAMGTATTTTGGTAAGCCCAGGCAGCCTAAGCTGCCACCATTTGATCAGTTCCCAAAGCCTTTATGAATGAGTGGTGTTTGTAACAATACCTGAAATACACTGAGCAAACTTTCCTCACCTGAAGAAGAAAATGATTATTTTAATCTGCAAGACAAAAATCATAAAAAATGATACTGAAAAATAGCTCAAATGGAGACACTATGCTTTATTAATACTTCTCCAGATTACATTTCTATTTCTAAAAAGAAAAATATAAACACAGCTAAATCAAAGAATTCTGTTATTGTTCAAGTCTTAAGAATGAAACACTTTATTACTTTCCATATACTTCACTGTTTTCGAATTAAAAAAAAAAAAAATTAGCTCCAGACAGATTGCATATTGAACACCACTGGCTGGCAATCACCRCTCATCACTTTCCTGATAAAAATCCCTGATTAAGAAGTTTGCTCTCTCCTTTAACTTTACAAAAGGCCCTGTTGGTGGCACAGCCACTCGCGGGGACAGGAGCTGCTCCCAGGTTTCTCAGTGCTCCTGCTATCCTGCCCTGGGTGCCCCCTGCTCCTGGGCAGCGTGGAGGTGGGAGGTAGCAGTTTTCCACTCAGCACTTGCTGTTGAGCAACAGAAACACGGTCTCTTCGGAGCCGGCTGTTTACGCAGCCATAAGAATAAGCTCTTGAGGAAACGGAAAGGTAGCCAGGTGTAACAGAGGAAGAAGATGGGAAGCTTCAACATTTACGAATGTAGATCCTCAAAGCTCAATTGAGCCAGGTTCCACAAACCAGAAAACTGCTCCAGTCCCTCCGAGGGAGCCGGCCCCGCCGCTCGCACAGCCCGGACCACGCGCAGAGCTCCGCTGCAGAAGCTGTCCATGCCACAGATCATTTGCTATAAAAAGTACAGTGTCTCATCTTCAGTATGTGTTTAACTCAATCCTGTACATTATATACAGCAACGTACAAGGATAGCTGCATAGTGCTTCCACTCCTTGTTCTTTTACAATGATGAAAATAAATTTAAAAACCAGAGTCTGGACTTATAAATAGTGCAGAAAATGCAAATGCTAAGAAGACGATGCCTCCTATGATTGTCACTGAAAAAGAAMACAAACCAACAGACAATTAGATACTGAACAGTTAAATATCTTTCATCACACAGGTCCATTTTAGCCATGTCTGATGCCCAAACAATTTTATTTTCACTTTGAACCCTAGATGTTTTTTCTAGCTCAGACAGTGTAAGGCTTTCCATGTAACACCATAGTCTAGCTATACTTACAAGATATATTTTAGTCCTTTGAAGGATGCTCAGTTTTACTTGTACTAATTTGGCTTCTGTAAAAATGGAGCTAATTCTTGCCATTGGATATTTCACTATATAGCAGTTAAGTATGATTCTGTGATTCTCGTGCTGGAGCAACTCATCAGTTACAGGGACACACTGCCTAGCATTTGTTGCTGTTTAACTGAAGGACTGAAACACACAACATCAGAAGTGCCCACTGGCTGCAGGGCTGCAAGCTGCCCCACGGTGGGGCAGTGCTTTGGCAAAGCACAAAGTTTGCTCTCTTTAATACCTGAGGACTAGGTGGGTCTTTGCAGTAAGGTTACTGCAGTAAGGTTACTGCTGTGGCCAGAGACCTGTGCTGGGCTTATTGTCAGCATTTGAGTCCTTAAATAACAGGAAAGCGARTAAYGTGTCAGGATTAGCCATGGCTGAACCCCTGGCCTCAGCAGCAATGCAAGGAAGTCCCCCCACCGTTTTGGGGGTGCCAGCAGCCCTGGGCAAAGCACAAGTAGCCTCCACTTCCTGACGGGGCAGCGAGGGGGCAGGAGCCCCCACACTGAAAAATGCCACGGAGTTTCCAAAAGCTCCAAGGAAGACCCAACTTTCAGGCTCCTTCACACACGAGTAGTACTGCAGGCGCCACGTGCAGCTGCTGGCCGCTGTCTGCGTYGCAGGCATTACGGGCATGAATACAGGCTTTGCCTCAAGGAATGTTCGCTTACCAGTCCTAACAGAGATCTTCTGTGCTATCATCCTCCCTCCGATGACTGCCAAGCCAGTGCACAGGCAGTGCCCAACTGTTCCCCCTACTGCCACACCATAGGGGTCCTGCAAAAAAGCACAGGAGGAAACATGAGCACAGCTGAAAACGTGTTTGCCTTTCAGCAACCTCCATCATTGCACCGGCTCCATTATTTTACAGCCTGCCAAGCATGCACACTATTCTTTGGTGTTTGCTTTGCAAGAGACCTGAATCTTATTAATACAGGAACATACGGCATGTTTCAGGCAAGCAGCATCTAAACATGGTTAAACATAGATTCAGAAATCACTGCTGAATGTAAGCAAGCATACAGCCTCTAGAGGAAAGGTGGTGGCTGTTGAGCAACAAAGKACATGTCAGTTGGAGAATTACTAACCAAACTATTATGATTTAAAAAAACGCTGAACTGCAAATGTGAGATTTCAGTAGCCAAGACATTYAGCTCCTCTCTCCTCCTGCACAGACTTGTGTTCYASCCAAAATATCAACCAAAAGGGGAARAATGAAAGAGAAAATTTAATTCCAGAAGACAGTAAACTGCTTTCAAAACTTACTACCAAGGGCTTTTGCCTCATTATGTAAAGAATAGCTACTAGATAGTTATATTACCAACTCTACTATTAAAAGCAGATCTGAGGAACTTGCTTAAAGTTATGCATTTTGGGGCAGTGGATGCGTTAAGTGCCTCATAAAAACAGAGGATGTAGAAGGCAAGGTAAACAAATCATTATTTTCTGTTGTACAAAGATAAACTAAGGAGAGTGGAGTCCCCTGTGAAACCTTCCTTCAGGAACTAGAGTGACATTTTGATCTCAGATAAGTAAAGCTCCTACTTTCACATGGGGAATGCACCAAGTCTCTAAAAGCTAAGCAAAAATTGCACTTGCGAAGTGCTCTGGTTCCAAGATGACACGGCTAACTCTCTCTGGTCAAGACACCCAATTACAAGACAAGACAGCTGGCAAGTGTGAGCAAAGAAGTGACAAATACCGACTGGCGGGGAAGCCCCCACCTGGGGCAGGCTCATGGAGCAGGACAACCATCATCCCAAGGGAAGAGGAAAAAAGACCAGAAGAGCTGGGGCTTGCAGAGCACATTCACCTCCAGAACCTGGAAGAGACTCAAGCAAGAGGATCCTGGGCCTGTTCATTTCTCCATGGCCAGCAGTTACATGTAAGGCCCGCTGGCAAAGACTGCATCTTTTGTTTCACCTTCTCTTCCTAAAGTATGTGCGGTCAGTGATTTACTCACTATTCAAATCACAGCAGGAAGAACATGTCTTTCCTCATAGCATTTCTGCAATATTCTTGATAGATATCTTTGTATTCCACAAACAGGAATTTATCTCAATAAATTATGAAACAAAGGAGAACAAATTAATCTTAGATAAGATGAAGGAAAGATCCACGTCAAATCATTCACTGATTTGGAAAGCCAAGATAAAGACATATTGCATCTGTGAGTTCTTTTTTTGCAGTTCTGAGCACGTATACATTAAAAGCACAATACCCACTGTGTTCGATTTAACATCTTACAAATCAGACCYCAGGGTCCCATAGACGCTTTCTGATGGGACACTCTGCAAATGCAGCACAGAAGCCAGCAGTTACCTGTGAAACTTCAGCAACTTGCCTCGCATCTTACCAAAACTCTAGCAAAGGCATCAGCATTCCCTAGTTTTCCAAGCTGGCTTTTAACTGCCTGAACAATGAGATCATTCTCGCTCTTTCTGCTGCTGCCGGCCTCATCTGCTCCAAGCGCTCTCCCTGTTCTGTAACAGAGGCAGGAGGTTTGCACAGAGCAGAGCCTCTTCCACTAAACAGCCCTGATTTATTCCTGTAGAAGCTCTACAGGGCACCGAGAGAAGTGTGAGTCCTAGAAGTGGAAAAACAAAGATCTCAATGTGTGCAAAGTGCGCAGGCAGGCTTCTGCTTACTGAAAGGGTAACCATAAGCTTTAATTTTCAACTAAATCTATTACTGCTGCATGTATTCTGGCCATCCTGCTGACTACAGTGTAGCAGCAGTCCTCTGTCTTTCTCCCCCTCCTTACTTTTGAAATGAAAGTGATCACTTCATCTACAGCACTACTGCACAGCAGTTGGGAATTCACCGAGTTCTATATGCATAAAACTCATATATATGAAACACTCTATATGCATAGAACATATTTCATAAAATTGAAAATGCATTTCAATTTTTTTAAAAAGCTACGTTTAACAGCAAAGTTTCTTAAGATGAAGGTCTCTTTACAGGGCTACTGTGCTCTATCTACCTCTACATGGTAAAAACGGAAGCGAGATTCTGTAACAAAAAACAATTGTATTCAAGTGTATGATACAGAATAACTCTTTTCAGAAATGCTAGTACAATTYTAATCATGGAACAACAGCTTTAATAATACACAGAGCCTCAGAGCATTTATTTTCAGGTCTCAGTGCAGCTGTAACAGTAACTAAGGCAAAGCAAGGCTGCAGGTGTGAATCTGGTACCTCAGACCGGGTTATTTTGTCCCTCTGTCTTATCTGCTAGCGGAAGTGGGCAAAAGACCAGTGGGCACTGGGAAACACTCACCTCTCTCGCTGCCAAGACGATGGTGGTTAATTGGGAACGGTCACCCCATTCTGCTAAAAATGTCAGAGTAAACGCTTGAACAAAGATTGGAGAAATAAAGTGTAGCCATTTCTTCTGGGGTATGGTGGTGCCTGGTCCTGTTTCCACATCTCCTGGCCCATTTAAGAGTTTAGTTCTCTGAAGCTGCAGAGGACAAGCAGAAAAAAAATTTTAAATACCATAATATTAGAAACATCATCTAAACAACCCAAATCAAATACTTCAATACAAAGCCAGTCATTTAATACCTGAAATGTTAGTAGCCTCTATCCGCTTCATCATCTGCATATTATTTATCTTAGACAGCATTTGAGATGATGAGCTGTGTATTACACTTGTAATAACCTCCAGCCTCCAGTTACTGCCCCTCTGAAACCTTGCATTTAYATGCAGGAATGATAATTGGTTTCAAACTACAGATGCACTCCTATTTTTAATGCAGGGATTCCCTCTCGCTTTCTCAAGGAAGGAAAAAAATAAAACTAAAAAGCAGCTGTTCCTTGTAAATGACCTTAAAAAAGTATAAACTTAAGATCTTCACAGTCTAAAGTAGCAACTCTCAAATTAGGATTGGTAGAAATGAATTAACAAAAAAAAGTAGTAAGTAAGATTASACACTACTTCTTGAAAGTGGACCACAGTCTGTTTGGAAGACTATGATGACAGAGACCTTTGCTGCAATACCACAAATCTTACTGTGATTCCACCTGACCMTAACATTAATTAAAGGAGAGACAAGAATAATTTATGCTAATAGTTTTTTCAAAACTGGATTCTATGGAGAAAATCCTACTTCTCCTGACAAGACCACAGAACTGGCATACCACAAAACAGGAGTCATCTGCTGCAACAGTCTCCAGCAGCCACCTCTGCCTAGTTTACCACACATTTGCTCTCTTAGATTCTTATTAGTCACACACACAGCAGAGCAGCCTGGGCGTGAAATATAGCACAGTGCTGCAGCTTCAAGTCTTTAACTCTTTCCGTAACTGTAATTCACAGAAAATTTGACTTACTTCCTCATCTTTTTTTTTAATTTCTGCTTGAACTTCTTCCAGTTCCTCCTGACCCTCATCTGGGCTCATTTTCAAGCCTTCCCGAAGCATTCTGATGCCAAAAATTGCAAAGAGTGCTGTTGACACATAATATGTATACACACGAGGAATAACCGTGGTAGCATAGCCGAATAAAACTGGAAAAAAAAAGCAAATGTGTCATTTCAAATATAATCATGAGGATCACAATTATTTTTCCCATATCATATTCCCATAGTGAGGAAATGCTCACTGCATTTCTACAATTCAAATGCCCACTGTTGTCTAAATATGCCACTTTCTGTTAGTTTAATATAATTTTACATTTTTGCAATAACAACGTTTTAGCAACTCCAAGCATTCCTGGTCATACCAGAAACTGAGGTCTGTTAGCAAAGGTCAAACACAGCAGAGCAAAGCTGGTGTGCTGCTATTCTGAAGAGTCAGTCAAAGCAAAGTTATCTTTCCAATCAAGGATGACAGGCCTTGCCTTTCTCCAAGCACGCCAAGTTAGATTAGCAGACACTTAAAGATTAGTCACTGTCTGTATCAGTTAATTCCACTTATATTGATGACTACATGTTGGACAGCATCTCTTCCCATTTTTTTTTTTGATTTATCTCCTATGTAAAGCATATGATCGGAAAAAGTACCAATTAATTAATCACCAAAGTACCAAATAATTATACTAAACTTTTTAAATACTAAGCAACATGGTAAAGCAATGAAAGATAATGTATTCAGAAAGATCTTTTCTTTGTTGTATTGCCATATCCAAAGCACAGGGGTAAAATGATAAGAATGGTGAAGCAACTTACTTTGTCATAATGAGTTGAGGATGAGGATAAAACTGTCTCTGAACACAGATCAAAAAAAAAAAAAAAAAAAA